TAAATTCTCCTCAAATATCCTAATTTAAGAGTGTTATTTTTTTTTCCTACTGTGTAGACCTTGACTGTTAAAGATAATTCAAAAAGTGATCTTTATTCTAGAAAACGTTGGGAACTTACATATCAGAAAGAGAAGTACATTCTCTCTGCTAGCTCATTCCTTTTTGATTTACAGAAGATTCTTCTCTGGGGTGCCTGGGTATCTCAGTGGGTTAAAGCTTCTGCCTTCGACTCGGGTTATGATCCCTGCGTCCTGAGATTGAGCCCCTCATCGGGCTTTCTGTTCAGTGGGGAGCCTGCTTCCCTTCCTCTCTCTCTGCCTGCCTCTCTGCCTAACTGTAATCTCTGTCTGTTATATAAATAAATTAAAAAAAAAAGAAGATTCTTTTCCTAGTGAATTCCTCATCTGATTCATGATTTAAGGAAAGCAAAGTCTTCCATTTTGATATTTTGCTTATTATACCAATCTGCAGTTAAAATTTTACACTGAAAATTTATAGTTTCTTAACATTTCACATCCAAATTAAATTGTCATTAGAATCAATGATCAAAATCCCTCTTTTGATTTTCATTTGCAGTATCACTTTCAGTCTAGGTAAATGTCAATAACTTTTTTTTTTACATCTATGGCTTTGGTTTGGTATAGGTTCTTGCTGAAAATTTGGGCACTGGGAAAAATCAATTCATTGGTAAAATGATGTGACAAATGTAAATATGTAAAATATGTTTTCTTATTGAAGTATTACAAAAGCTATTTTATTGCATATTTTACAATATGAACTGACTACTTAGACAAGTAGTTTAGCTATCAAAATTAACCCTCAGTAATAAAAAAAAATCAACAAATACATGTGTAAAACGTGAATTTACACACTTTCAGAAGATTGATCTCTGAAAATGTTAATGACTTTGAGGAGTACATAAAAAATTGGGTATTAGAACATGGGCAGAATTTAATATTTAGTCCAATTAAAGTTGTTAATCACCAGATGTAACTTGTCTTAAGCCAAAGACTTCAAATAATTGAGTTCCCCTGGAAACTGCAATGCTAGTCCTGCAATTTGAAGCTTGCATAATAAGCTCATCAATCCATTTTTTTTTCACTTTTTATCCTCATTGACACAGAGCAAGAGGAAAAAGATGGTCTGAGACCCCTCATATCATCATCTTTACCAGTCCTTAATAATGTCATTACATTGAGCTGCCTCCTAAGGAATCTTTAGAGAAGTCCCTCTTTGGATCCATCTGAAAATTTCCAGAACTAATGACACCTTACAAGACAACGGGGGATTAATTAAAGTTGTTAGAGCTTCTGAACTCCAGGTGAACCTTTTTAGGGTTGTTACCTTGTGAACCTCCCTTAGACTCTTTATTGAAGATTATATAATTATTCCATTTAGGTGTCTGCCAGATTCTACTTTATAATTTCCACAAATTCTGTCCTCACCTATGCTGACTAACTAGTCATTTAAAGACCATTTTCTCTGAAGATTTTTATTTTTCTCTATCAGTTCTGCTAAGTCACACATAATTTACTGTTTTACCTTCAGCTTCTAAATTGGAATTTCTTCTGATTATGACCATGACAGTGCCAAAATAATATTCATATTGTTTGCAAATGATGGAGATGTTTTCTGCTCATACATTTCTCTTTATTCCACTTTAGAAACTTTCTCCATTTTCCTCCATAAATCCAACTCATATTTTAAAAAACCCAGTTGAAGAGGCACCAATTGATTTAAAAAAAAAACAACAGTTCTATACTGATTCTTGTAAAAAATGAACTTTCTCTCACTTCTAACTTCTAATACTTGGTCACTCTATAGTTGTTTCACTTATATTTATTTAAATATATATGCAGCTTGCAAATGATTCCTCAAACAAATTGTTAGGGGCAAATACTAAAATATATTTTTAAATTTTTTAAAAAAGTATCATCACTGTATGGTGAGTATGCTCTCTGACACATATAATCATTTAATAAGTGCTTATTTAACTAAATTGTTAATATTACCTTCTCCTGGCATAGTTGGATCAAGAGAAATAATAAAAATATAGGAATTTAATACATATGTCACGAATTTTCTCAGTGTTTATCTATTTCTATTATAAACTGGTACTATATTTAAAAATTCTTCTTCATAGTTTTCTGAAATACTATTGTTAATTTCATTCTTTCATTAATGCATTCATTTTTCTTTTGTTCATTTATTCAACAAATCTTTACTGAGAACCTCTAGTGTGCCAGAAACTCTATGAGTATTAAGGCCATGTTTTGACCAAAATAGGTATTTTATAATTATTGCAAAAGAGAACATTAGTATCACTTTTTGAGAATATTAGTATCATTTTAATTAATTTCATGACCTGATTTCTTTATCTATTCTGGTTTAGCACTAAAGTATCTGAGAAACACATAAATATTTTGTCAATGAATATAATACATAGAATTCTGCATATTGTATTCTCCTTGAGGGAAGAGGCTCTTATTTTATAGCTTCATAGTGTAGGTACACATTAAGTCTGACATATCTGTATTCAACAATCATTATTCAGTACATACCCTATAAAAGACTCAACACTGGATACTGTGAGGGACATGAGGGTATCAGACAAGGATCCTAGGAAGGTAGTAAGAGTGATATGTAACGTGTACACAATTGATCCCATGTAAGACAGAAAGAGAAAGAGCCCTAGAGAAATAAAGATGTGGTGCTATTGAAATTCAGAGCAAAACCAGGTTATTCCCAAATAAAGGATTAAGGAAAAACTTTTTGGAAGAGTTGGCTTTGAGCTGGGCTTAGGAGGATGGGATGAATTTAGCCATAGAAAATGGAATAAATAGATAGGAAAGGAAAAAGAGAAGGTAGCAGAAGTGCACAGAAAGTATCTTTTTACATATAAATTATGCTTCATTAAAACAAGACCAATTTTTTCTGAAATTATTCTATTACTTTTTATGCATAATTATGTTCAATTATTATAATATACACCTTTGAAATATTCAAAAATAAATTATCCTAATCTCCCATTTTTTTCTTCTTCCTTGTCTCTTAGGGTTAGCTAAGCCCATTTAAGTGTTACCAGAAGAAAGATGCTGAAAGTCACTCACTTTCAGAAAATTATTCCAAAATCTCTATCAGCTGAATGTACCTCTACAAAGCTAAATCAAGAAATTGTTTTACTCTCTCCTAGTTGTGTTTTTAGAGTGTGGTAATTTTTTTTTCCACCAAATAGTTTCTGAAACAAGATATAGTACTTTATTATCACCATTTTTATGCACTAATATACAAAGATTAAATTATAATTTGTTTGAAAATATTAGCAGATGCTTTAAATATGTAGCCAATCACATACAATATTCAGTGTCTGTGACATGATGCAAAACTTTTCGCCATCCTAAATAATTGTGCTGTTTTGATATTTAACTGGGATTATTAAGATATCACCTACAGTATAAATTCTTAGCTCATGATGGCTTTTCTATTTAACATACTACAAATAAAGCAATTACTCAAAGTTGAAGATGGTCATTTTCCTAATGATATGTTATGCTTAGCTTTAAAAGTATCAGTTCACACTCATCTTTTTCCTAATTGCCTACAGTATTCTAAGTAGAATTTCCCTTCACTTCTTTCACTAGGCTTTCCTTCTGGTCATGCAACATGCATATTTATGCATTACATGTAGTTTTCCTCCACTCCATAATGACCTTAAAGTTGTTTCTTTCTTTGTCACTCCCCCTCCCCAGATATTACTTAATGAAGCATCCAGATCTCTTTGGGTCCCATTAAAGTTGGTCAATAAATGGTCAATACTATAATGATTTTGTGACAATTAGTTCTACTGGTTTCTGTCAATCACATATAGGGGAGAATCACTTAACTATCATAGGAACTCTTCCTACTTTCCCATGAAGATTGTAACTTTTTTCAGAAAAAAATATTTGGGAGATATATTTTTCTAAGAATGCATTTGTTTAATGACAATTTTATTCATAATTGTAAAAAAAAAAAAAAAGAAACAACGTATTTGTCCTTCAACTAGTGAATGTAGTAACTATGGCACATCCTTACAATGAAACACTGCATAGTAATAAAAAGGAAGAAAACATTGATACACATAATGATATGAATAAATAAATATCAAATATATCATGATATGTAAAGAAGCCAGACTTAAAAGGTTACATATCATACCATTTCTACTTATATGGCATGCTAGAAAAGTCAAAATTGTAATGGCAAAAAACTGATTGCTGTTTCCAAGCCCTGGGAGGGAGAAAAGTTGTCCATATAGGGCCATAAGGAAACATTTTGGGTTGACTAAACTGCCCAAAAACTTAATTTTGATAGTGGGCACATGATTGTTTGCATTTGTCAAACTCACACAAACTCTGTACCTTAAATGGGCAAAAGTTACTATATATAAATACTACCTCAAAAAATGTGACTTTAAAAAAGTAAAAATAACTGGATATCTCAAAATGTGATCAATCTGAAAAGATATGGTCAATAATCATTTAGAGATCCATCAAGAGCAGAAAGGAATTATTCATTCCATAGGCTGTTTTATAAAATTTCCTTTTCAGAAGGAGTATAAGTAGCATTCATGTATCTTTTGTTTTATAAATAAAAATTACATTTTGGGAGAAAAACTTCATTGAACAAATGCCTTGTGTTTCACTGTTGTGTTAATTATGAATTTACTAAAATAATCTCCAAAAGTAACAGTATTTTGTTAAATACAAGCCTACTTAATGAGTTTATTAGTTATGGTAATTATCTAGTTTTAAAATAATGCACTGCTATTATTAACAATTTTAAGATTATTATCTTTTATCTCTCAGTCTAGTAAACAACTTAATAATTCAGGAAGACAATGGAGAAAAACCACTGCTAGAAACTCTCACATAACAGAACAGGAACTCAGATACAAGAGACAAAATAGCAGGATTAGAAGTAATCCTGAGAAGGATGCTTTAGACAGCAAATGCCTTACCTTTGCGTTTGGGTGGCATAGCTGTTATCGTAAGTCTCATAGGTCTGGTCATCATATTCACCCCCGTAGCCATCATCATACCCCTAAGACAGAAAATGGTAGAAAGACCTATTAGCAATCAACTTGATTAACTTAGGTCTGGTTTGGCTTAATGAGATTTTAAATGATGTGACCTTAGTTTAGTTTTTATGTTTGGTTAGTTACTCTGCATCAGATTTTACTAGACTAATAATTTCTTCATAACCTTGACTAATATTTCATGGACCAGATATTAATGCTTAATAATTAAACTCAGCATGTCATTAAAATAGCAATACCTACCCTATAATTTATCTGGAATTTTAATCAATATTAAAGAAGACTATATAAGAAGTTAAAAATAAATTTTCTTTTGAAAATACTATGGTTAGATAGTGTGCTAATATCATGGTGGTGTTAACATACTGGTTACAGCCCCATTGGGTTTTTTTTTTTTCCTTCCCCTGATAATAATCACAATTATGATTGAAACTATAAAATTCAGGATCCTTAAATTGTTACCAACTTTCGGTAAAAAAGATACAGTCATCATTGCAAAACAAACAAAAGGAAGGAGAAAAAAGAAAAAGGGAAAGAAGAATAGGAGGGAAAGAAGGAAGGAAAGATGAGAAGCGAGGGAAGGAAGGGACAGAGGGAAGGACTGGGGGAGGATAGGAGCCAGGAAGGAAGGGAAGAGGAAAAAAAGACAGAAACCCCACAAAGAGCCTTTATTTTGTTGTCCATTCTACAGTTTTAAAATCTCATAAATAAGATAATGTTGGTGGTGAGTTTGATTACCTAACTAAATTAATGCTACCAAAACTAATGCAGATTTGTCATTGCAGACTGTGAAAGCAAACTAGCAGTGTACAATCCAGTTATCAATCACTGTGTGAGAAATTTGCCTTTATTTCCCTTTGTAGTCACTGACTGTACTCTAAACCCTAGCCATCCACCTCAACTACTCCCTACCTCTGAAAAAAGCTTTTGATTTTTCTGCCTCTGGGCCTTTGCTGGTGTGTCTCTTTCCCTGGAATGCACTTCCATCCCATCCCACCAATTCATAACTTCAGTTCAGTCTGGAGGCTTATAAATCTATTATGTTCAAAAATTTAAACAAAAAATATGTAGACATGAAAGTTTCCATATCAGTTTTGACTAAGATCTTGAGTTCATTTAATCTGAAAACTAATATTTTTTTCATCAACCTAAGAACGTTTTAAAAATATTATTTATGACCTCTCCATCTGGCTTACCACTTATATAATGCTATTATTTATATATGAGGTTTGCTGAGTCTGACTTAATTTCTTTTATTCTACTTACGGTTTTCCTCATATTTTTCCTCTGCACTATGGGATCGTTTCTCTATTTGATCTTTGACTATTCTAATTCAGTTCCTGTTGAATTAAAAAATTAAATATTCTAAATTTTAACATATAAGATTATTTTTTAAAATAGTACTAAAGGATTTATGCACAAAAAACAGCACTTTCCTTCTTTGTCCCTCTATAAACCTCAGTTCTCTTTAAGCCTTTTCATCTATTATTCTAGTATTAATTTTTTGTATTAAGTAATATGGTTAATGTTGCTGATTTATGAATTTTGATTATTTTCTATTGACTAGCCATTCAGGTTACTAAGGATTGTTTTTTTAGAGTCTTCTCTACATTTTTCCCTGCACTTTAATATAGTTTCATCATTATTTTTGTTAAATAGTCAAAATCTACACTGTCATTCAATAATAAATATTATTCACTAAGAATCCAAATAGGTTAATACAATTCTTTTTTAATTTTCATATACTTTTTGTTTCTCCTAAAGTTAATAATTGCTCAATCATTTTATTATTTTCTTGGCTTCCTATATATTTTGAATTATTTCTTTGTAATTATCCTCCTGTGTTGGGCTCCACACCCGGATTCTCTCTCTCTTGTTACCCTTCCCCTTCTCCCCTCTACTCATGTACTCATTCTTTTTCAAAAGAGTATAGTAAACATACAATGTAATATTAGTTTCAGGTGTATATTATAGTGCATCAGCACTTCCATACAACATCCAGTGTCCATTACAGCAAGTGCCCCCTTAATCCCCATCACCTGTTTTACCCACACACTGCTGCTCTGGTAGCTATCACTTTTGCTCTCTCTGTAGTTAACACAATGTTTCTTGGTTTGCCTCCCTCTTTTTTTCCCTTTGCTTATTTGTTTTGTTTCTTAAATTGACATGAGTGAAATCATATGGTATTTGTCTTTCTCTGACTTATTTCATTTAGCATAATACTTTCTAGCTCCATCCATGTCATTGCAAATGTCAGGATTTCACTCATTTTTATGGCTGAGTAATATTCCATCATATATATATATATACACACACACACACACACACACACACACACACACACCCCTCTTTATCTATTCATCAGTCATTGGGTACTTGGCTGTTTCCACAATTTGGTTATTATACACAGTGCTGCTATAAACATCAGTGTCTATGTATCCCTTTAAATTAGTATTTTTGTATCCTTTGGGTAAATACCTAGTAGTGTGATTTATGGATTATATAGTGTAGTTCTATTTTTAACTTTTTGAGGAAACTCCATACTGTTTTCTAGGGTGGCTGCACCAATTTCTATTCCTACCAACAGTGTAGGAGGGTTCCCCTTTCTCCACATCCTCGCCAACACCTGTTGTTTTCCTGTGTTGTTAATTTTAGCCAGACTGACAAGCATAAGGTGATATCTCATTGTGCTGATGATGAGTGATGTTGAGCATTTTTTTATGTGTCTGTTAGCCATCTGGATGTCTTCCTTGGAAAAATGTCTATTCATGTCTTCTGCCCATTTTTAAACTGGATTATTTGTTTTTTAGGTGTTGAGTTTTATAATTTCTTTATATATTTTGGATACTAACCATTTATTGAATGTGAAATTTGCAAATATCTCCTCCCATTCTATAGGTTGCCTCTTAGTTTTGTTGAGTGTTTCCTTCACTGTGCAGAAGCTTTTTATTTTGACATAGTCCCAATAGATTGTTTTTACTGCTGTCCAATGTCAAAGAGGTTACTGACTGTGTTCTCCGTGAGGATTTTAACTAAATTTCTAAAATCCTCTAGGATTTTAACTTTCCCATTTAGGTCTTTCATCCATTTTGAATCTATGTGTATGGTGTAAGAATGTGGTCTGGTTTCATTCTTTTACATGGGGCTGCCCAGTTTTCCCAACACCATTTGTTGAAGAGACTGTCTTTTTCCCATTGGATATTCTTTCCTGCTTTGCCAAAGATTAATTGACCATATGCTTGTGGTTTATTTCTTGGTTTATTATATTGTCTTGATCTATGTGTCTGTGTCTATCTTTGCACCAGTGCCATACTGTTTTGATCACTACAGCTTTGTAATATAACTTGATTATGATGCCTCCAGCCTTGCTTTTCTTTTTCAACATTGCTTTGGCTATTTGGGGTCTTTTATGGTTCCATAAAACTTAAGGATTGTTTGTCCTAGCACTGTGAAAAATGCTATAATTTGCGGATAGAAGACCAATGTATAGAAATCTATTGCATTTCTGCACAACAATAATGAAGCAGCAGAAAGAGAAATTAAGGAATCAATTCCATTTACAATTACACCAAAAAACAATAAGATACCTATGAATAAACGCATCCAAAGAGATAAAAGACCTGCACTCTGAAAAGAATAAAACAGTGATGAAAGAAACTGAAGATGACACAAAGAAATGGAAAGACAGACATTCCATGCTTATGGGTTGAAAGAACAAATAATATTAAAATGTCTATATTACCCAAAGCAATCTACACATTTAATGTAATCCCTATCAAAATCCTCCAGGCTTTTATTGGTTTCTATAACTCTGCTTTTTAGAGTAGTCTAGACCAGTTGTTTTGTTGACTTTCCTATATTCTGAATTTGATTATTCTCATTATTATTTTGTTTCAATGTTTTTGAAAGGATACTGCACCTGTGATACTGTGTTGAATATTTATCTGATTGTAAATTTTAAAATTCTAACTCCACACTAGATTGATTAACTGAGTATAGAAGTTTAGGCTGAAAAATGGTTTTCGATCAGAATTTTTGAGGGCTTTGATTGAATGTTTTCATTACTACATATTGGTGCTGAGAATTCCTGCTACTTGTATGTGACCTAGTTTTATTTTATTTCATTTCACTTTTTTTCTATCTGGATGCTTTTACAAATTTTACCTTTGGTTTTCTGAAATTTTATAATGCTCTGCCTGTGTGTGTGTGTGTGTGTGTGTGTCTTTTCATTCAGAACGCTGGGTACTCAGGGAGCTCTTTCAACTGTGGGAGCTTGTGTTCTCCAGTTCTGGCAAATGTCATTGTACTTTTCTCTTCTCTTTCTAGTACTCTTACTAATGGGATATTGGATCTTCTGCATTGCTGCATTAATCTTATCTTTGTGCTTATGTGATATCTCTTATTCTTTTTGTTTTACTTAATGGGAGAATTCCAAGAAATCGACCTTTCAGCCATAGTATAAGATATATAACTTTATTTGCCCACCTCTACCCCTCCAACACACACATTAACAACCATTAGAGTGTGTACGGGAGGCTCCTGTGTTCTCAGGTGAAATTTAGGCTTCCTTATTCTCAACTCAAGGCTTCATCTCCCCTCTGGTAGAGCAACAGTTAACACTACAGCTGGAATTTCCCATAGTTGAACAAGATAGGCAGTCTAGTTCTCTATCTTGGGGATCACTGGGTCTGTAACTAGGGCATTAATTATATTTGCCACAGGTGTCTCAGGGGCTGCACACATCTTTTCTAGCATCCATACTATTGTTCTCCAACCAAATTCTAAAAATATGGCTTCATTGACCCTCAGTTGTTACTCTGGACTCAAAGCTCTAGCTTCTAACAGGAAGCAAGCCAAGTTTTGCTTTTGTTTTGTTTTTGTGTTCATGGGTCCACACTAGAAGAGCCAAGGTGGGACTCAGGTACATATTTTCAGAGCCTTCAAATCCCTAAATTTCCTATGTTTTCCCTGTTTTTATCTGTTGAAATGCTATTGATATCTAAAG